AATATTGGGTTCTTTATGTTAAGTGCAAATAGTCATAAGATCCATTGATGTGAAATGAAATTGGGTTGTCCAGTCTTGTGTATGAGGAGATGGTTAAGTCTTGGCCCAACCCAGTTTAGGCCCAGCTAGTTAGGGGTTAGGTTGCATACGCTTAAGGGGCTAGGTTGTATGTGTTTTAAAGACCGAGCAACACAGCTTAACCCATGACTAGCCGATACTAAATTGGGTTAGACCAAGTCTAACCTAATTGTTCATTGACTGTCGGAGCCTGATCCCAGGGCATACATTCTCTAAGAACGTTCTTGTCCAGTATTACCAAAACGGGTAAGAAACTTTGGTTTTTGTTCGTATTTAGGTAACCATGTTTTTTTCGTACACATTTGACCAATTTACTTGTTTGACCTGTTCATAATAGGGTAATATTACCGTAATTACCGGTCATAGTACCCTATTTTGAACAGTTTAAACAAGTTCAATGATCAAATGTGAACGAAAAAAACATGGTTACCTAAATGTGGACAAAGACAAAAGTTCGTTACCTTTCTAGGTCATTAACCCTCTGAAATATGATATTTCAGACATTTTTACATTTCGGACTCTTTATTTGACATGTTTGAAACATGGAGAACATGTCTGTAACGTAGCATTTCTGACTCTGAAATGCAATGTAACGACTGAATCTAAATAAAAAATAAAATAAATTATATTTAAATTTTATGTGGTAAATTTTATGAATACACTTACATTATATCTAAAATGTTCAATAGAAAATTGAATTAAATACTTGGAGCATTTCAAATAACAGTTTTTTGTGACCAGCAAATATTCATTAACCACTTAAAATCTTTATTGGAGCATATTTTTTTACTTTTAAAAATAGCTACTTACAATTACGTTTCTATTTTGAAAATATAATATGGATTATTAAGGCATGTTAATTTGTTTTAAGAGTTAATTGTGAAACTTTGATGGATTTGGAATGTAGTTGATTAAGTGATAAGTGCATAAAGCTTGGAGGGCTAAGGTGGAGAATACACAAAGAAGCGTATGAATACCGAATACGAGTATGAGTTAAGCATATCCACGTTAAATATAAGAGTGCGGCTCAATTTCGTCATACATTTAAAATCACTTTCGCTTTCTAACTAAAATTGTTCTCTCGTTTCTACCTATACTAATAACTAGAGTTTGTTAATGCATTTGTGATATAATGAATCTTCTAATTTCATATATATACTTTGATCATCAAATTATATGTGAGTTTGTTTCCATTTATGTATGGTTCGTATTTGTTCATGTTAAACACCACTGATTTTTTAATGTTATTTGTAAAGTTCTTGGTTAATTACCTAAACCTGACTGTATTATTGTGAACTCTTGGTTAAAACTAGTTCACATACTGCTACTTTTTATCAACCACTTGGTATTTTTCAATCACTTAATTATCTATTGTGATATTACATTTTACCACGTCTACTTAAATATTAAAAATAATTTAGTAACACTTTTCATTTTATCTCGTTAATCATCTTTTATACTTTTTTTGTTTGCTAACTAATCTAGTTTACTAAATATTAAAAATAAAAGAAATATATTATTTATTTATTTTATTTTTATAACTATATAATTTATCAAAATAATATCAAAATGAAATATGATATATGTTTAAAACAACAGTTTATAATATGTTTCATATAAGATGATAAGTATATGGTTATTAGGGAGGAGGGAGTTGTTCCTTCCCAATCCACCGAACCCACTGGCACATCACTTTTTCTCTTTTATTTTTCTTCATCTTTCCGAACCCACAACACACGAAAATCCTATCTTTTTGAACCCACTCAATTAAAAAAAATACAAAACAATTAAGGTACAAGTTTTAAAACACACGGTACAAGAGAAAATAAGAAAGAGAAAGTAGAGAGAGATGATGAAGTGGGTTAATGAAACCAATCAACTCACTCGTTGAAGCGGGAGTGGTACCGCCGATAACTCTATTGCTAATTAAGATTTTACATTTGATTGTTTTGTATTTTTTTTTAATTGAGTGAGTTGAGTGGGTTCAAAATGATATGATTTCCGTGTGTTGTGGGTTCGAAAAGATGAAGAAAAACAAAAGAGAAAAAATGATGTGACAGTGGGTTGGGAGGGAATGACTCCCTCCTCCCTTAAAAAGAACTTTTAGAAAAGCTTTTGGATTGGGATGCTTTATAAAGATCGGCTTTACCGAAAAAATAACATAACAAAGTCGATATGCTCTAAAAAGATTAAACATTATAAAAATGGTCTTATTAACTATTAATGCTTGACTCGAACGTTCAGGGTTTAAACTCGAGCAATTTGATAAAAAATTTATGCATGCGTCATTGAATACAACATTCTAGAACTAAAGTTATAATGTATATATTTTCAATGGTAATAATAGACTTTTGAATAGTTGAAATAAACGGAGTTCGCAAGGATCACAAGTTATCTCAATAATTTCTTGATGGTATTTAAATGTCACACGCATCTTTTAAATCGATTTTAACATCATTAAAATAAAACATACTCGTGTGTATATCTTCTTCTTCTTCTTCTTCTTTTAAATAGTATTGTGACAAAACTGCAACATTGGTCCCTGTGGTATTCAAAAAACTTTGGATAGATTCCAAAAAGTTTCTTACTTCACCGAAGGTCCAAAATCAAGGTTTTTCTGGGTTTTTGGTCCTTGATACACTTGAAAAGTCAATTTTACCATTTTCATTTATTTTTTCTATTTTCTTTATTTATTTTGGTATTTAAAAAATTAAAAATAAAATCTCTCTCTCTCTCTCTCACACACACAAATATGAATATGAATCTCAAGAACACTCGTTTTTTCCTGAGTTTAAGAACAAGAACATCACATTCACAAAACCATAAATCATTTTTTTCGGATCTGATAAACTGCCCTTCACCACCACTTGAATCGATTTCTGCTATGAAACCCAAACCTAAACTTGATCTGAATCGATTTCTTATCTGAAACTGTTGCCTAAACTTGATCTCAAACACCAGATGAAGATCAGGTACCGATTTGTGTGTGCGTGTGGGTTTTTAAATTATTCCCTAGATGATCAGAGGGGATAAAGGAAAAAAGAAATAGAGGTGGCGACATACAAGGATTCGAGAGCAAAACCAATGCCCTAAATAACCCATTTCTGCCTCTGTTGGTAGTGAATGTATACCCCTCCGTCAATTTTTTTCCACAACCCGGTTCAACAACAAATGAACCATCGATAGGCCTTCCGCTCATGTCCATACAACTGATTTTGGGGTGAATCAGATTTTAGAACATCTGATTGTGAGAAAATGTGAGATTGCTTTTTAGGGTTCTTAAGAAGAAAGGGGTGAAAGTTTGACTGGAAATATGTTGAGAGAGAGAGAGAGAGAGAGAGAGAGAGAGAGAATGAGGAACCAATTTCGCCAATGATTCTCTATTTTCAATCGACAATTTCGCAAAACTAATGAAAGGAGTTGTGGTTGTGTATGTTCCTTACTTCTCAATTTCTTTAAGGAATCGAAGGCGAGATGGATGTTGAATGAGGCGTGTGATGCATGGTTGAGGAGATAAGAATCAGACTATACATGAAAGAGACGGAGGAGTGTGAGGTTTGGGACGACATCGACGGATCGAAGGACCTGCATGGTGGCGGGACAAGTATTGTGGTCAGAATCGAGCAATTTCTGGATGTTGGCATGGTCATGGGTGAAGAACACACATAAAATCGTTTGGAGAGAGAGAGAGAGAGAGAGAGAGAGAGAGAGAGAGAGATTTTTTAATTATTTAAATACCAAAATAAATAAAGAAAATAGAAAAAAGAAATGAAAATGGTAAAATCGACTTTTTAAATGTATCAGGGACCAAAAACCATATCCAAAGTTTTTTGAATACCACAGGGACCAATCTTGCAGTTTTGTCTAGTATTGTCGTACTTAAAATTTCTATTTATGCATATGATCCCTCTTTGTGTATTTATTAGAACAATATTTATTCAGAAGTTGAATTTAGGATTTGACATGTTCACATAAAACTGTAAAAACTGTTATCTTTGATTTTAATATTAATGTCTACACCTTGACTTTTGTTAACCAAGTACGGCCAGAATAGGTCGTTGGTAGAAACAATATAATATAAAAAAAATCAATATCTTTGTCTAGTACGAAAATCATGTGCTAGGTCGTTGGTAAGAATACCTTTTTTTAAGTATTTTAATTATTAAAACTAAAATTAAATTATTTAGTTGAAAACTTTTTGTTTTGACACATTCTTGTAGGTTTAATTAAATAAAGAACTTGATTGTATACATATTTTGGATTTGATTAACGATTACTATTTGTCTATTTACGAACGAATATAATTAAGTGATATACGATAATCAACATATGTTCACCTGTACTTATTTATCATTATAAATAATCATAATACTAATATGGGCTTCTGATCCAAATAAACGAAGAAACGAGGCAAAATGTATACTTTTGACTTTGAAATTGTTATGCCAATTTAGAATCTTCTATTATGAATTGTAGTTTAAATGAAGATCACACCTTAAAGAAGATTCTTAGACTTTTAATATACCTACCTTTTTGAATAAGGTGGTTGTGGAATTTTCAAAGATGAAACGGAAAACTTCTATTACCAAGCAATTGTTGGGTGTTGATTAATCAAGAAGTATTAAATATCACAAAATATTTTAAATAACTTTGAATATGAACAATTCTAATGAAATTGTAAAACATAAACTTTTATCACCAAATAATTGTTGCGGTGTTCTTGATGATTTTTAAAATTAAAATCTAAAAGAAACATTTGATTTTTTTTTTTTTCGAAACAAAAAGACGAGGATATTTTATTATTTTATCAAATTCTTGTTGAAAATTTTTTTTTTTTTTTTTTGAACAGCAAGAAAAATATAATAGATAATATGTCGTAAAACTCCCATCATTATACACAAACAATAACAAGTAGAAGAATCCCTACTTATGCTTACTCTCTTATATATATCGTTAGCATGTTTACATACATACAGAAATGACAATATAGTCCAAATCAAACATACATGACAATTTTACGAAAAGGAGCTTACAATTTTTTTAGAATATTAGCAATGTGTAGGCCTCTCATAAGTTGGAGGAAGAGAAGGGCAGTTTTCATTCATATTGGAATATGGGTGTAAAGTGTTGTACAAAGGTAGTTCCATGCGATACTTCCCAAGTATTTGGCAGAATGGAAGCTTATCATCACCATTGTTGCACCATTTTGGAAGCCGTGTTTGGTTATTCTCAAAGATTTTCAGCATATAAGCATCACGAATCTGTAAAACACAGAGCCATGTTTAATGACTACAGAAAATAGCTTAAGTAGAAATATTTTTCCTTGAAAATTTGAAAGTCTTACAGTGAACTCGGTGACTTGAATAGAATCTGCAAAAGGCCCAAAAACTCCAGCAGCTTTATATATTTGAAGAATAAAAGCAACACAAGTTGTAGACTTTCCATCACTATACACCCATTCATCATTCTCAGGAATTGTCATCAATTCATCAAAAGATATGCCTCTCTTTTCTGTCTCTTCCAAAATCCCATACAAATCCAAACCCTAAAACCAAAATAAATACCTTAAAGAAAAAAATACAAACATAAATCTTCATATAAATTAGGGCAAAATCAATTACCTCTGTCCCAAGACGCATATTTAGGGCTTCATTCCACATATTGGCAGCATAAGCAGGCTGCATCCTAGTCCACATAGACATGACAGAAATCACCTGAAATATGCAAAATGTATTTCAGATACTTCAACCAAAAAATGATAAATTATAAATATTAAAAAGTTCAAAAGTGAGTAAAGGAAACTGACCAAGTGAGCATCAATTGGTGGGGGATAATTGTCACCAATGGTATCAATCCAACTAAAAATCATGTTATGATAACCATAAGGTTTCCCAGACATGCTCAAAGCATATTCCCATGCTGCAGTGTTATTCCATTTTGCACGTATCTCAGGATGTAAAGGCAACAAAGCTATTTGTGGGTTTGATTCATCTTTAAGTGCCAAATCCCACCATTCATCCCATGGAATCACCACAATAACTTCTTCACCCTACAATATAACCATGCTCCAGAATATGCATCACCCCACAAATATTGTGAAATTTGTTTTTTGGAATGTGAGGGTAAAATGGTAATTTAGTCTTTTACCTTTTCATTCTCGTGTCCTGATTCACCGACCCAAAGATTTCCCAAATCGTCCTTCATACAAACTGCTGTATGACCAGCAAATGCCCCTGTGACCCATTTTTCCAATGTTTCAAAGCCACCCCATCTTCCACGGATCTTTGAAACAGCTAGAAAATCACCAGAATGAACATCATCTGGATTGATAGTTGCACGCCATGGCTTAGATCGTGTCTCAAAAGTAGCACCCATGTGAGCCTTTAGAAATTTTAGGTTTGCATCTTGGCCCCATTTCGTGTTGGCAAACAGAGGCAAAACATCAACTAAAGAAAGCAGTGTTCCTAGCATTCCAGAAGGCATCAGAAATACAGAGACTCCATGTTGCTTTACCTGAATATCAACAATGGATGATTGTAAAGTGGAACTAAGTCATGAATCAGACCAAAAAGGATTATAAATCTGAATTTGATGTGGGTGTAGTGTACATATTCTAACTCTGCAGGTTCCTCCCAGGACTCAAATGGCAAAGTATGTTGATTTGCTGCGAAGTAGTAGTCCCAGGTAATCCTGTAGGGTGTTGCGAAAACATAGAGATCCATACATGTCCAACTGTGGGCTTCAGAAGTCTATAGAATATAAAAAACAAAAGCAAGGAACATGATTAGAATCAACACAAATAGGATCCTTATTCATTTGGATCAAACAAAAAGGGGGAAAATTGACCTATCTGTTTGATTCGAAATTCAAAACTACTCTAGAAACAAGCTAAAAACTTAAGTAAACACAGGAAAAATAGAATAAGGACGAAAGGAAACGAACTGATTTTGCGCCAATTAAAGACATAGGAAAGAGTCGGAACCTTGAGATGGATGATCCCGCCTCCCAAACCACGATCATCCCCTTCAGTGAAGTCCATACGAGCTTCATTGCCATGGAAACAAGCACCTTTCCACTGAAGTGTCCCGTTGTTCGGAGAAATCGTCCCGACGAACGACGGCAACAAATCCACCGCCTTACCAAAGCTGTTCATAACAGGCCACGAAATTTGACGTGGTAGAACAGGTAACACATCGTTAACTCTAAAAGGCAACTTCAAAGCTTCACCGAATTCCGAAACTGAACCTAAACCTAACATTAGCATACACAGCACCCTCCATAACCACATCCTTGTTAGTATCAACAAAGCTGGAGGATGAACTTGTGGAATCCTAAATAATTTGTGAAATTGGTGAAGTGTATGTTGACGATGTTAATCCGTTGAATGATTGGGAGTGTGATTTGGTTGATGAGATCGATGAATTGGGGGTTGATTTTTACGGTGAAGTCAAAGTTTGTAAGGCGTCGTGAGTATCGAGGTGTACACTTTGATCGGTTGATTTAGGAGATACTCTGGGGGCTAATTTGTCTGTAATTTCAGACTAGGAACTATAATTTTCAAGTTTTACAGTATGGTCCTCGCAGAATGCTCTTGCTTCATTCTATCACCTCATAATTCATAAATCTCGGAATAACTGAAGTTCAATAATATAGATTTCAAAGATCTGTGTAATTTCTAAAGCTTTTGAACTTTTAATGATTGTAATAATGTTTAAACTTATTTACTTCTTCAGAAATATTTAATGACTACATCAAAGAATACAATAAGTATTCAATAAGAGAAAAATAGATTTGGGTTGCAATTTGTATCTCCAAAAAGTTTATAAAAGGATGTAGAAATATTCGTTTACTATACTTTACTTTGGGCCAAAAGGAAAATAAGGATGGTGGTTGCTTTTTGAGAAACATTGCTAAAAAGAGGAAAGTTTATAAGAATATGATATTGTAATAACATTATTTTTGGCGTGTCGTTTAAAAAAAACTTTGGTTAATATGTACATGCCAACCTAGTTTTTGATTTTATTACAACATGGTGTTTGATAAATCACTAAAATAATTTATAAACTAACTTTTTTAAAAAATTATTTGAAATAGCTTATGAAGATTTTTCCACAAGTATGCTAATGTATATTCATTTCCCGATGAATCTAAATGTTTTTATGTCATTTAGTTTATTTGTACCGATCACTATTACTTTATACCAGCTACTACCATGTAGCTTATAGGTAAAATGTAGGTTTTTAATTAGTCTGTAAAATACAACCTAAATGGAAAGATGAAAAAAAAAAGTGAAAGGAGATCAAATAAATGAGGTAAGTTTATTTTTGGAAAAAAAAAAAGGAAAATAAGCATATGTAGAAGTGTAGAACTAGACAACTAGTGCATGTTTTTGGATAACTCGAAATTCCCTATCTAATCTAATTATATAAAAAAAAAACGTTTTAGATGCATCAAAAAGCAACTTATTTTATGCCGATTTACATTCTATGTAGAATAAAAACATAGAGTAATTTTCATCCATTACAAAGTACAAACAATATATAAGTTTCATTTCACACAAAACAAAACATATTTTACATTTCATTATTTCATAAATAGAGGTTGCTAACTAAAGTAAACAAAAAATCCTGACTTTATATCCCAAAAAGAAAGCAATTCGAGTAGCAAGGAAGAATCAGAGCAGTGTCTTCAACAGCCAAAGGCTGTCTAAACGGGTTCAACTGAACCTGTCCCAAAACCAAACAATCTTTTACTACAAATCACCAAAATCAATGTTTTATTTCTTTTTGTACAAACAAGGAAAGGTTAAATACATATTTATCCAACAATTTTTTACCTTTGTTAGACCAATATTTTTAAAAAATATATATATAAACAAATGACACGAATTATACAACCATGTTTTGTTTCAACCAGTAACAAAACTTACAGGTATTGTGGGTGGACTACCCGTCACAGAGCTTATACAATTAGCTGCAAGATGACAAGCTTCTTCACAATAATCAGAGAAAATGGTTGGGATTTCTATTTCTCTTATCAGCTCCTGAAAGTACATTGTCAATTTCAGTCATAAAAAAAAAACAATAAATGCATAAACATACCACACAAAAATAAATAAATAATAAAAAAAACATACGATAGTTGGTAGCCAGCTTTTGTAGGCCGCAATACCAGCATTTGGAGCAATTATTAAATCAGGAATAAATTCCTGTCCATAAAGAAGTACATCCATTAGACCCCTTTTGTCAAACAGAACAGTACAGTACAACAGTACAATAGTACAAGACAGTACAGAACAGAACATGATTGATGTCAATGAGACAAAAAGTATAACTTTCTGTTCTACCCAAAAAGGTGGAACAGGATAGGACTTGGACTCACTATCAGTCTGTTGTCGGTGCAAAAAGACGTAAATGCCCTTCTAATCGTCAATCATTTAAAATAATAGCCCAAGTAAAATATTAGTGAAAGTTTGAATATATAACCTTGGTGAGATCTGAGTAGCGGTTGTGATAAAGACCTGAATGAAGATTTATTGTAATTGATGAAGATTTATCGGAAGTGGTGTGTGAATTGAATTCACCTTTTCCAGATTTACATGTGCAATTTGCCTCAATGCAATGTGCATAGCTACAAAGAGTAATTGTCTCGCCATCCCTGTTTGCCCAAAATGGAAAATTAATGTACTTTACTCTTTTTTCTGCTCAATAAGCTGAATCTCTAAACAACATGTATGCTGAATTGCTGACCTATCATGTGGAATAGCAGGTCCAACAAAATCTATATGCACTCGGACTCCAGGAAGTAAAGCATGCAACTCCCCAAATACAGCAAGTTGATAAACTTCCCTTTCTGGCCCTTCACAAAGCCAATCCATTAATCAGAATCAAGAATCCACAAAAGAACACTATTTTAACATAATAAGCTAAATTAGGTTCTAAAAGTCATGAAAATACCTAGGTAGTGTATGCACAGTTCATCAGTAGTTTCAGGGATCAACTGTTTCACAGAAGCAAGTTGAATTGCCTTATATATGGTCAATGGCTGGAAATACAAAATATATATATATATATATATATATATATATATATATATATATAAGTATGTAACCATGTACACTACATCTAATAAAGACATATTTTATGAAGTATACATTATATGGTACACAATGAAACTACATTACCCAGTGAAGAAGCAGAGCAACAGGAGAATCTAAAGGGATGCCTCTCCATTCATAATACTCATTCCAACTACTTAATTTCTTTGTTAACATAGACAAAGGCCCTGCATTTTGAGTTTGTGTAGAGTAGCTTTCAGAAGTAAGTATAAATGATCTGAAACCACACCAATGAAATTTTACAACAATACCTTTACAAGGGCATAATTTACTTGAGAGATTCCAGCCCTTATCATACCTTCCAATTGAATGAATAAACAATGAGACCCCATGTGTAATTTAATCATATGTGTATTGAAACATCAGGAGAAAAGAAGGATCAAAAAAGAACCTCAAATGATCCAAGGAAGTAACTGAAGCCCCACAACTACATTCACATATCCAGAATCCTACACAGTGGATCCCCTGTTTATCCAAGAATGAGCATCTAGTCTCCACCTTTCCACTAACCTGCAACACTTCAATCAAGTAACTCGATACAAATTACCCAAAACCTTGAAGCACCATTGATTAAGATAACATTCTAGCTTTTGAGGTCAGAGTTTTAACATTTCCAAACCAGAATTGATACAAGATGTGTAAGAATGTTTGCAAAAATATATTCCTAACCATGGTATTTTGTTTTCAATAGTTCATATCAATCTCGGATTCAAAATTTGGTCCTTTTGGTCTCACAAATCCAACTACATAAAGTGATTACCTGATAAGTAGCTTCCCGGGAAAAAGTAAAAGGGAAGTCATTTAGCAGCACCACACAATACATTTGTTGTTTGAGTCTTCCACATTCTTCTTTGTGAACTCTCCAATGTGATGTCTTAAACAAAATCAGCACAATAAGTCATCAGCATTAAATTAAGATAATTAACTGAAAATAGGCATCAAATGAAGGTGATCCACAGATTAAAATTGGGGATTTGGTGCATTACTACGTTCAGCTTCTACTTGATGCTTGCAACAAAGATGGTAATACATCAATTTAAAGCGATAAAAAAAAGTGATAAAACAATTTTCAGTATCGGAAAATGTGCGAATCTAGGGTTCTTACTGGAGATGATAATAAATTTCGTGTATGTGCTCGAATTTAAGGAGAATATGAAAAACCTGATGAGAGACGGAACAATAGAAAACAGCACCACAACCGCCGCATCGGCGGTTAGCTGGTCCCGAGCACCGCCGTGGACTTCCTTTCGCGGCACACTCCATTCATCCGATTTCGTCTATGTGTTTTCAAAAGCAGTAGTCACTTCGACCCTTCTACTATGAAGTACATACATTTTTCACCTTATTTTCTAATAAAATACCGTGAGGTCCCCGAAACACAAGCAAAATTATCAAAGTCAACGGCCTTTGACCAAGCTCCTATACAAAGCTCGTACTAATCAGGTATTTAGATTAGTAGTTGTGAGATACATTTTCATGAGGTGATATTTGGGCAATTGAGGACAATGCATATGACATTTTAGAAAAGACAATCAACATATTATTTTTTCGAACAAATCACAAACATAAAAGTGTGGAGAACATATATAAGATGTTAATTTCTCTCAAGTCTAAGGGCTAATACAATCTTGTCACCAAGAACCATCTCTTATATCCCGATCTCTGCTCATATACCAGATCAATATACCGAGTTCATTTTGCATCTCGTTTAATGTTAAGGCACACATCTAACATAAAAATCGGACTAAAAAGCCCTATCAAATAACATGTTGGTAACTCAATAAAACTATGTAAACCAATAAAACAATATATATTTAGAATATTAGAGATTTCATGTAGTGGTAATCACAATATATGCATGATCAATCTATATGATTCCATGTTGCTCGCATACCGACTATGCATGATTGAAAGTAGGACACAACCATCAATATCAAGAATCAAGATGTAGGGGTGAGCACAATACTTGTTGAGTTGTCTGGCCTGAACCGAACCGAAACCAATTGATAACCGAATATGTAATTTGGTTCAATTATCGGTTTCCCCAAATCCATAAACTTGGTTCTCGGTTTTTGGTTCCGATTTCAGACCCTACCAACTAGGAGTGAGCAAAATACTAGATAGAACCGAAATCAGAACTGATTAGGAACCGAATATGTATTCGGTTTGGTTATGGATTCCTTCATATCTATAAATTCGGTTCTCAACTTCTCGGTTCCGATTATGTTCTGTTCGATTTTAGAACTATGCTCACCCTTATCAAGATGACAAGTAGCAAATCACAACGCCTCATCGTTTGGTCTATCCTTCTAACCCTTAAATCTCTTCAACATGACCTTAACGTAGTTTCTTATACATTGATATATAAATTAGAAGGCCATAAAAAAGTATAAGTAGCAAACCAGTTTATATTTTATCTAAAATTGTCCAACAGTGACGGTATTGTTTGACACATTATCAAAAAATATAGAAAATTTTGTCTTGTAATTATTAAGTTGTTATTATGTAATCTGAAATGCCTATATAAGTTATATCTAATATGTGAATATCCAAATAGTTCATACCTAATCGTCCACTTCATTATTTGTCAAGCGTAGGTATTTACCTAATGAGTAGTTGCAAGAAGGAACTAATCTAGTGAACCATATCGAGTCGTCTAAACATCACACATTAAATTTATTATGAATTTTATTTTTTTTCAAAACCTTAATGCATTTCATTTTAGTATTTTTCAACATATTCATACAATCGTGTCTAAGGGTGGGCAACTTACATGAACAGTTTAATTTTTTTTAGGAGCTCGTCAATTGTGGGTGGTCAAAGTGGTCGAAAAACAAACTTTCTTAAATCACGAACTTTGACATTCTTTCCCAAACCAAACTTTAGAAATTTACCTCTACACCCGTCCTTTATGGATAATAGGGGTGAGTATTTGGACATGTGGACCGGACCGGGCCGTTTTTTTGGACCCCCGGGTCGGTTCCCGGTTCTAGGATTTCAACAAAACCGGTCCGGTCCGGCCGGTTCCGGGTAAAAACCGGTTTTGGACAGGCTTATTTAAAAAAAATGAATTTTGAAAAATTCTTTAAACAAGCATATCTCATTCGTTTTAAGTCATATTAACATGCGGTTTTTTCCAACGTGTAATTTAGAGTTTGTAGATTATTTTAGACTATAATTTTGTTGTTTTTAGTGTTATATTTGATGAGTTACAATCCTTCAAAGATGAGATATCAAAGTTGAAATGTTTCAGTTTTTCAACAGAAAATTTAAACTTTTGTATTCTGTGAAATTATTTAAACAAGCATATCTCATTCATTTTAAGTTGGATTAACATGCGATTTTTTCTAACGTGCAATTTAGAGTTTGTATATGATTTTAGACCATAATTTTGTTGTTTTTGGTATTATATTCGATGATTTACAATGCTTCAAAAATAAGATATCAAAACTGAAATATTTCAGTTTTTTCAGAAAGAAATTTAAACTTTTGTATTCTGTGAAATTTTTTAAACAAATATATCTCATTTGTTTTAAGTCGAATTGACATGCGGTTTTTTCCAATGTGTAATTTAGAGTTTGTAGATGATTTTAAACTATAATTTTGTTGTTTTTGGTGTTATATTCAATGATTTACAATCCTTCAAAGCTGAAATATTTCAGTTTTTCAGCAATAAATTTAAACTTTTGTATTTTGTGAAATTCTTTAAACAAACATATCTCATTCGTTTTAAGTCGGATTGACATACGCTTTTTTCCAACGTGTAATTTAGAGTTTGTAGATGATTTTGCACTATAATTTTGTTGTTTTTGGTGTTATATTCAATGAGTTACGCTCCTTCAAACAAATGGTATAAAGTATAAATAATCAAAGTTTGACCGGTCCAAAGGGCATAATAAACAAAAACATATTCATTTTTACGAGTTGTACCATATGGAACCTAAAAAAGTATTCATGTTAACGAGTTGTAACGTATCAAACCCAACAACATATTCGTTTTAACGAGTTGTATCAAACCCAAAAACGCGTTTTAACAAGTTGTACTGTATGCATAGCATATAAAGTTATACCGGTCCAAACGGGTCCAAGAACCGGAAAACCTGGACCTGGACCTGGACCTGGACCTGGACCTGGTAAGTCACATCCGGTCCGGTCCACGGTCCACAATATTCTCCGAAACCGGTCTGGTCCAATTCGGTCCGGTTCGGTCCAAATGCTCACCCTAATGGATAATAGATTCCAGATTCTCAAAGCTCTCCCTCGACAAAAAAAACATTGAATTGGTTTAGAGACACGATCCCACATAATATCTAGTATCTAGTTATGAGATTTCGATTGGTTGTTTTCAACATGATACGTGCGTTGTTTATGAAATAATTTATTGATTTTTAAGGCTCTTGATTATGTATATGTAGTTGATATTTTCTTTGCAATATTTAAATATTTAAACATTGTTTTACGTTTTTTAGATGATTTTTGGTATTTGGATTGCAATTGCTTTGAGATAAAGTTCTATTAGAATGTATGTAATAAGTATTCGTTGATTAATGAGTTATTTGATAGTACTCATAACCTTAGATTTTGTAATGTGACTCTTTTTAAAGAATTATTTGTTTGTGTTTGAATGTTTGTGACGTGTGCTTTCTATCTTTACCATTTAAACCTTTAAACCGGTCTTCTACTGACTACGTTGAACTTGATTTATTTGTACAACCTTTTCTATGCTTTTGTAGAATTGTTTCAAATTCTAGTTTTGTCTAAGCATCTAATTATATAACATTAATTAATGGTCACTCAAAATATATATTATTTACATTACAATACTATAATTTACACATGGGAAGTGATCTGTACACAATAATTTTTCTCCATACACAACAATTTATGATTTACAGATTTGTACAATACAATATTTTAAAGTATAATTTATTGTGTACAAAGAAAAATAATTGTATATGAATCAGCTCATTTTAGATATTCACGATACAAATTATATAAAATAACTATTTTTATGTGTTTTGAATTCCGTATATTAGAAATGATAATTTAGACCTATTTATCTAATAATAAAATAACTATTTTTATATGTTTTGAATTCTGTATATTAGAAATGATAATTTAGATATTCACGATACAAATTATATAAAGTAACTATTTTTATGTGTTTGGAATTCCGTATATTAGAAATTATAATGTAGACCTATTTTTCTAAAAATGGATCTATTTACCTTGAATTTTTTATTTAGTGGTGTAGTTTTATGCCCACATTTATATATCATTTAGGGAAAATGACTTAAAAAGGTAACTATGTTTCAATTTTGTACAAAAAACACCATTTAAGTATACCCTGTTCAAAAAATACCATCTAACTAAAGAATTTGTTCAAAAAATACCATCTAAAATCACATTTTGCTCTTTGATTCAGTGTGGTAACCGGGTGGAGATGGGAATGGCTGACTTGGCATCTTTTTCTTAATGTGTGGATTATCTAGTTGGCATGGAGTTTACAGGTAGGATATATCCCCCCTTATAACCCATCGTTGAAATAAATTAGGGCAAACATCTCTACTCCTCTGTAACGACTTCCTCCTTCTTCTTCTATGGTGTCTTCTTCTTCCTCTAAATCCGTCATATCCAAGTCAAGAACCAACATTTCAAAATCTAATGTTGGTAGAAAGCATTGTGATTGTGGGTACATTGCTCGAATTTGGACATCAACAACCAAAACTAATCCTGGAAAAAAGTTTATGGTTTGTCCATACTCCTTGGTAAGTTTAGCTTAAAGCTAGCTTTTTATTTCAATCACCTTAATAATTTCTTGGTTATGTGACTTATTTTCCTGAATATGAAGGATCGAAATAAGGAAAGTTGTAAGTTCTGGAAATGGGTTGATGGTGATGAAGAAGAACTAGAAACAAACTTAATGAAAGTCAAGATTTCAATATTGGAAAATGATTTGAAATCTTACAAGATGAAGACAGATGAGGATGGTATGAGTTTTAGAAAGAAACTCGATGAAATGAGCAGGACATTAGAGATTCAAAAATGTTGTTTGTGGATGCTTTTTGTTCTGCTTGTAGTGAAATTCATGATGTGGTATAGGGAAAATGAATGGAATGGTTGATTCCAATGTGTTTTGTAAAGGGATGCTTTTGTAGCTTTAATGGTAATGTAATCAAGGGCATAATGGTAA